GACCCCCCCTCCACTGACCCCCCTGCGTCAGAACGTCATCCGGTCTGAAGACCCAGGTCCAGGGATCAGACAAACATCAGGGTCGTGAGCTGAAGTCAGGACCGAAGAACTCTCCTGGATCAGAATCTTCAAGAACCCTTCGATGTAACCACGTTGTTGGAGGCACATCATCTGCGGATCGACAGCACCCTCAAGCGGAAGGAGTGAGGAAGGCACGAAACCACAAAATGAAAAGAGAACAGAACAGAACGTGTTCACTGTACAGTCTGGACCCCAACGAACACCTAATGTTGCACCACAGACGGAGGCCACTACATTAGACCAGTGACACAACACCGAGCAGCCACTCCACAAAGTGACGTCATGATCCTAAAATTTTAAAAAACGTGTGTTTTTGTTCAACCTTCGAACTTTTGTTCCTTCAACTAAAGTCGACGCCGTGTCTTCAAACCCGAGCCCTGAACAACAACACGGAGTACTGGCGTTTCCATCGACCAATCAGAAGGAGCCTCTTATATATTCATCTGCCTCTTTTTAAAACTCCACCAATCACGAGCCAGGATGGGGGTGGACACCAACAGCACAGCTCGACTTGTTTTGCTGTAGTTGGAGTCCGTCTGTGAATGTTCACGGACGGTCACGGACGTGTGGTCCAACAGAACAAAGTTCGAGCAGCTCGAGCTCACGGTTCAGATTCGAACGGTACCGAATAAAAGTCCGAGCTCTCCGAACACCGCGGTCCTTTAAAACGGCGTTGATTGTTACAGGAAGAAGTTTTACACATCGGAGTGACGTCTGTGTCATCCAATGGTAGAGCAGTAAATATGCAGCAGGTCCGAGCTGTGTGGAACAACCACCAATCACAGAACAGTACATCGACTTCCGTTACGGGGTCGCAGCATGTCCCGTCGTACGAGTGTGTTCTGAAAGTCCTACGTCTGTTGAGGCGCCGTCTGTTGATATTTCTGCTTTTACCGAAAAGTTGTGTCGTTGGCTAAAGTTGACCGGTGACCTTTGAACCAGAGTCGCGCCGGGTTTGTTGTCACAGGGGTCACAGTTGTGGGTTGTTAGCGGGACAAACCGCGGCTCCGCAGGAATTTAGTTCGTTAGCAGAAGCGGCGGCGAAGACTGAACCCAGTTGGCGGTTCTGGTCGGAGTAGGTTCGAGTGTTGTCCCACGACAGAGAACTTCTGCTGGTTCTCCTGGTCTGGTCGTGTCGGAGCTTCACAAGCGAAACCGTGGTGTTTAACTCGGTCAACGGAGGAGCGCAGCTGCTGTTAGCTCCTCAAGTAGCCACCTAGCTGCTAACGCCACCGGGTTGTCTTTGTCAGAGACACAGCGGCGGCCGCGGAGGACATTGTCTCTGGACGTGCACGGTATTTTAAGTGGTTTTAAAGCCGGGTTGTTTCACACACGCCCCAGAATGAACGGCTTCAGCACGGAGGAGGACAGCCACGACGGACCGCCTGCTCCACCGTTCTACGGCCAGAGCTGCTGCCTGATCGAGGACGGCGAGCGCTGCGGCCGCTCCGCTGGGAACGCCTCCTTCAGCAAGAGGATCCAGAAAAGCATTTCACAGAAGAAACTGAAGCTGGACATCGACAAGAGTGTGAGTAGAGGCGGGACTGGTGGACGTCATTAACATTAAACCACAACACGACACCGAGTTTGTATGTGAAGTATCGGAGCAGGAGCCGGAAGTAGAGCGGCTCCTGCTGTCAACAGTCGTCACATGTCAAATGGTTCTGATTGTCAGCCAGTCTGACTGCAGGCACTGCCCGAGACGGTACGGTACGGTACAGTACGGTACGGTACGGTTCGGTTCCACGGTGTGAAACGAACCTCTCCTCGATTTAGCCCCGCTCTGTGTAAACACTGGAGAAAATCATGACGAGGTCACGTGTCACAGCATCACCGGGAACAGTTGGTGAGAACCCAGCCGTCGTGGCTGCTGCAGCAGCGCTGATCACGTGACCGGTCAGGACGTGACGACAGGGTTGGGTCCAGAACTGAACGAACTTCTCTGTCTATTATTCTTATTATTTCATGGTTAACTCTAACTCTAAAACTGTGTTCAACGACAACTGAAGCAGAACTAAAGGTTCTTCAGTCTCCTGGTTCCACTTGAAGTTGGTTTTATGTTGACACGAACAAACCCAGAGCAGCAACCACTCTGTCCTGACCTGTTAAAACAGGTCGACAGGGGGCGCTAGGTCTAACATTCTACCTCTCAACCAGTCAGACTCGACTCAACTGTGACACCGCTTCTCCACAGGTCCGACACCTCTACATCTGCGACTTCCACAAGAACTTCATCCAGAGCGTCCGCAACAAGAGGAAGAGGAAGACGAGCGACGACGGAGGAGAGTCTCCAGAGCACGACGTGGAGGTGCCGGAGGTAACGCCCACTCCCAGGTGGAGCCGGAGTTGTTGTGTGGACTGGTCTGAAGTTAACGGTTGTGTGTTCCTCAGGTGGACCTGTTCCAGCTGCAGGTGAACACACTGAGGCGCTACAAGCGACACTACAAGCTGCAGACCAGACCTGGACTCAACAAGGCCCAGCTGGCCGAGGTACGTGAACGGGTGTGTGAGCCAAGGTCACGACCTCAGGTCACGACCTCTGGTCGATCCACTCCAGAGAAACTGTGGCAGGAAAACAAAACAAACCTGTGAGAAGGTGACGAGGGGGTTGGCCAGCAGATGGAGCCAAACCAACCAGAGGGTTAGGGTTTCTGAAGCCAGAGCTTGGACCCCGGAGGGGCCGAGAACCCAGTGAGCCCTGGTCAAGAATGGTTTGGTTCCAGCCCGTCATAATTGGAGCCTTGTTGACTGAAGGAGCGNCCTCAGTGAGACTCTGTGATATATGTTCTGTCCCAGGCTCTCAGGGAACACTAATGGGCTTTCACAGAGGGTCTTAGTCTGGCCTGGTTAAGACCAGCTGGTGGAGACCCCCACCCTGTCCAACACCTCCTGTATGTCGGTGTTTTCAGTGTGGTGGGGGCTGATCTGAGCAGAGTGGGTTCAGAAACTGGAAGTTGAATGTTTCCCTGGACTGTAGGTCCAGTTGTGACACCTCCTTAATGAAGGCCTCACATCATCAACACAGCAGCTGTCAGCAGCTGGTCCTGGTCAGCTCCTCCTCCTCCTCCTCCTCCTCCACCTCCACATTTGTTTTTCATTATTCATCTTCCACCACAGCTCTGTCGTCTCCTCAGACTCAGGGCTTCTCACTTTAAAAATGCATCTTTAAAAAGATATTTGAATGTTGACGTGTCCCCCGTCCCCCGTCCCCTGTCTGTTCCTGTGCAGACGGTGAGTCGTCACTTCAGGAACATCCCGGTCAATGAGAAGGAGACGCTGACCTACTTCATCTACATGGTGAAGAGCAGCAAGAGCCGCCTGGACCAGAAAGGAGAGGGAGCTGGGAAACCATTGGACTGAAGCTCGGAAAGAAGCAGCAACGGCAACAACAACAACAACAACAACAGCAACAGCAGCAACAGCAGCAACGGCAACAACGGCAACGACGATGACGACAGCAGCAACAGCAACAACAACAACAACAGCAACAGCAGCAACAGCAGCAACGGCAACAACGGCAACGACGACGACGACAGCAACAACAACAGCAACAACAACAACAGCAACAACAACAGCAACAACAGCTGACTGTCCCTCTCTGATCTGAGACCACCAGTCCAGGTGTCCTCACAGACGGACCTCTGCTCCTCCTCCCAACATCGTCTCCTTCACTCTCTGCTCCGTCCCAACACGTTGTGTTGTGGTGTGCGTGTGTGAGTGATTCAGATACCAGGACTGTTTACCCCTCCCCCCCACAGGCTGTGGTGTTTTCTCCTCTTCTCTGTCAGTGGTTCTTCTTTTTAAAGTGTGTCTTTTTTTCCGTCATCAAATGGATTTCTGTCTGTCTTCACCTGAAACGTACGACTGTTCACACCACGTTCACACCACTGTTCACACTACTGCCCTGGGTGTGCACAAGACCAACGTGCTGGTGTCACGTTTTTTTCCAGGTACATAACCCACATTCAGTGATAGGAAATGACCGGTAGGGGGCACTGGTGTCTCCTGTGGTCTCGTCTTTCTCTCTGTCCTTCTTGTTGTTGTTGTGTCTGTCTTAGAACACACTGACTTTGTTTGTTTGTTTGTTTGTTTTTAATACCTGTCATTTTATGATTTTGCTCTTAGGGTTAGTTTAGGGTCTGAGTCTGACCTCTGACCTCTGACCTCAGTCCAGCTCACCAACACAGGCTGTGACGTCACCTGAGGAAAAGACCTATTTAAATAAAGCAGCGTCTGAAAATAAAACTGAAATAAAGATGAAATCATGTACAGTCAGAAGGAAGAGTCTGGACTCTGTTCTGTCCACAGGCCTCGGGACTGACACACGTCACACAGCCACTAGGGGGCGCA